GAAACACTATTTTAGTCTAAAATTTTAGTAACCATATAAGAATTACTATATAATTATTTTCAAAAGGAAAAAAACTTGAATTTTGCATTTTGTGACACTTAGATCTAGCTTTTCAAAAAATATCCATTCTCTCTTCAATCCCGAGTTTTATTTTTTATTTTTAACTTTTCTACTCAATCTTGAGGCTCTTTTTTCTTTCTAAGTATATAGGGAGTTCATTTTATAAAATTTTTTTATTGAGATTAGTTTTATTTATAGATATTATATTTCCAAAATTTGATATCCAAAAGATATTTCCATTATACCCAAGGGAATAATAGTATACTCCCGCAGGAGTAGAAAATCTTTTGACTGAAATATTCCACGTGGAGGACAAAAAGTAGCGGATACGGTTCCTTATCTTAACCACATCAACAAGCTTGGCCTACTCTCTCTCTCGCTACATGGGCTGAGCTGAGCTGAGGTGAGCTGAGCTGAGAGAAACACAGAGCATGGAAGCTCTCACCACCAATCCATCACTGAAGCTCACTCACAAACCCCTGGACCCCAAGTCTCCTGCCCCCATCGAATTCATCGATCCCAGGAAAAGAGCATGGCATTCCCCAAATAAATTCCCCACCAGACTCACCTTATCCTTCGCCATCAAGCGCAGAGAGGAAAGCCTGGAACAAACGGTCACCAGCCCTCTAACTGATTCCCCATTGGAAGGAGGAGGAGGAGGAGAGGAGGCGTACGGCGAGGTAAAGGGCGTAATCGGCAGCCGCCCTCGTCCAGGCGGCACGGGCATGGAGTATCTCCTCGAGTGGGCTGACGGCCATGCTCCATCTTGGGTAGCCTCTGAGAACATCGCAAAAGACGTGATAGCAGAGTTCGAATCCCCCTGGTGGGTTGCCGCAAAGAAGGGGGATGATGTGGCCCTCCGCCAACTACTGGAATCCTCCCCGGCGAGGGATCCCGATGCAATTGACGAGGATGGTCGCACTGCCCTCATGTTCGCTGCCGGACTTGGGGCAGATGCTTGTGTGCGCACACTTGCAGAGGCAGGTGCGTGGCTCGACCGCCCCGACAACACACAGGGACTCACTGCACTGCACATGGCCGCAGGCTATGCAAGGGAGTCAACAGTGAGGGTGTTGATAGAATTGGGAGCAGACGCAGAGGCAGAGGACACTAAGGGGCGGACGACATTGGGTCTTGCTCTGGAGGTTCTGGGGGCAACATCAAAGGCGAATCCAGTGGAGTTTGCTCGGAGGCTGGCGCTACAGGGGGTGGTGCGGGTGTTGGAGGAGGCCGTGTACGAGGATGCCGAGGTGGAGGCAATTTTGGAGAAGAGGGAGAGGGGGGTGGGGAAGGGAGTGGAGTATCTGGTGAAGTGGAGGGACGGGAGGCCGAGTGAGTGGGTGGGGGAGGCGTTTGTGGCGGAGGATTTGGCGAAAGATTTCGAGGAGGGGCTGGAGTATGCGGTGGCAGAAGCGGTGGTGGGGAGGAGAAAAGCAGAGGAAAAAGAGGGATGGGAGTATTTGGTGAAGTGGGCGGACATTGATGTTCCGACATGGGAGCCTCAAGAGAATGTCGACCCTGAGCTCGTCGCCGAATTCGAGAGGCACGACCCTCACCTTTCTTCCTGATATCGTCTCACCTTTCCTTGTATTTCTCAATTATTTCCAGTGCATGAATCAAATCCCGCCAGATGGTGTTCTCACTTTACTTCCCTCCCATGAGGCATCTCCGCTATATTCCTCTTCCTTTTTTTTTTTTTCTTCTTAATTTATCTTTTTTAATTTCATTTCTGATATCAAGAGTTCTATTTAATTCTGTTTTTAATGTTTCTTCTCTCTTTTCGTTTGATGCGAAGTTCAAAAAAATGGATCGGAGATTTGGATCGGCCACCCCAAAAACTGTGCCAAATCAATGAATCGGCGAACTGGATTGGAGAATCGATGGGATCGGCAGCCCCTACTTTTAAAACGACTCTCAAAAGTGCGCTTTCAAAAAATAATTCAAAAATTTCCATGTCCATTTTCTTCATGTCATTTTCTTCATGTTCAAATCGGATCGAACCAAAACAGGCACGTTCCAGCTGACGTATCCGGCGGGTTCTGCCTCAGGAGATGACTTGGCCAGATCTCAATATATTGAGAGATCTAAAATGGTGTCAATGACTTTCGATTCAGATCAAATGATTCCAATCCATAACGCTGAATTTTCATACCTTGGTTTGGCGTTTGGGAGGGAGTTGATATATCTAGGGTCGAGAAGACGAGCCCGACGTTAACTTATGAACGTTACGGTGATTTTACTTTGCATTGGTCGTCCAATTCGTTGTCGTTTGAGTTGGATTCCTCTCAATTGCTTTTTTTTTTTTTAACTTAAACAATTTCGTTTGAGCTAGATCACCATAAATTGGATTCTTTTGAAGTTTGACCTTGGTCAATGTAATAATTATAGCCATCCAATTTTACATCCAATAGTCAAGATTAATGTGACCTCTTTATACCAAAAATAAATAGTCTCATTCTATATTTTTTCGCTTTTTACAAACTCTTGGAAGCAAAATAAAAACAAAAAATATAAGCAAAACTTAAAAAACCGTTATTTAGTAGACACCATGGATTGCCATCGCAAGTTTGGAGGAGTGATTTTTCCCTCCCCATCTTTTTTTTAAATATTTAAACATAAAACTAAATATAAATGTCATATTTTTTAAAACTAAATATAAATATCATATATAGAATAAATATAGATTATTTTTAGAATTTTGTTGGAAAGAGCAAATAGCAGGGATTCAGTCTCGAACATCAGCAATAAGGACAGGGTGGACTACGAACAGATTAACTTAAGTTTTGCCGTAAGGTTTGCTTCTATTATATATAGAAAATTGTTTCATGCGGGCTGGACCACATTTCTACATATGCAATCTAGAAAGTGCAAAGCATTCATCTTAAAGATGGATGCAAGTAGGTGTTTGATTTAAAAATAATGAAAACTAACGATCCAAATGTTTTCTTACTAGAATTATTATTTTTAATTTTTAAAATTAAGTCTCCATGTTAGAGACTACATGTCCTTAAAAATTAAGTCTTAAAATCCATCTAAATCACCGATTCAAACTAAGAGCTGGCGCATTCATCAATTATTCATGATCAAGGTGGCATTTACTGATTTGGATCTAAAAGCTTAGGAAAATCTTGTTTTGAACTTTAGAGAGAGAAAGAAAAGTAGACAAACCAATTCGTACAAACTACGGGGTAAACCCCATTTCATTTACATATCAATATATACACTTTATAAATAGAGACAATGACCATATTACCCTTGAGAGTAAGATGAAAGTATGAAATAATAATAACCTATATATATTGGAAATGATAATAACTATCTTTTAACATCCCCCTCAAGCCGAACATGCATCTTGTGCATTGAACGCTTGTAGTTGATTCATGGTGCTTTGTCTAGTAATGCCTTTGTGAAAATGTCTACAATCTGATTGGATGAGGGGCCAAATACTTTGCAAGTGTCATCTTATACAACATTTTCTCTAATAAAGTGATAATCAACTTCTATATGTTTAGAGCAAGCATGAAAGATAGGCTTCATAACTAGTCGCATTGCCCTTCGATTATCACAAGCCATAATGATTGTCTTACTTGTAGAGAGAATTTCCCTAAGAAGTCAAATAATTTCAGCTGCTACTTCTCATTGCTTTATATTCCGAGTCTACAGTTGATTTCGATAATGATGTTTGCTTCTTGCTATCCCAAGATATCAGACTCTTACCCAAGAATATACGATACCATTAATGGAGTAGCAATCATTAGCCACTCGCCCAATCAACATCAGTTTATACTAGAGGAAGTATGGAGCAAACCATCATGTATACTCCCTTTTAAGTATCTTAAAATTCTCTTTGCAACTTCTTGATAAGGTTGGCGATGGGTTTGCATGAATTGACATGATGAGTTCACTGCATAAGCAATATCAAAGCGTGTAAATGTGAGATATTCAAAGCTCATATTCATCTTTTTCTAATGATACTCAATACCCTTCATATCATTCCTAGTTATAATAATGTCATTCACATAGATTAAGAAAATAATGGTACCTCAAGGTTGATTCCTTTAAAAATAAAAATAGTCAACTTTGCTCCTTTAGAAACCAATGTTGTTGAATGAAGAGCTAAATTTATCAAACCATGCATGAGGAGCTTGCTTGAGATCATTAATAGCTTCTTTAGTTTACAAACATAATATGGATATAAGGGATCTTCAAAGCCTTAGGGTTGTTGCATGCACACTTCATCTTTCAGGTCACCATGTAGAAATGCATGCTTCACCTTAAGTTAGTGAAGATTCCAATTGAGCTTAGAAGTCATAACTAAGAGAGCAAATAGTGGGTGCCTTAGAAACTAGGGGTTAATGTTTCATCATAGTCAATGCTATATTTTTTACTAAACCCCTTGGCTACCAGTCTTGACTTTTGCTTGGCGATTGAACTATTTGACATGACCTTGACTTTATACACCCATTTTAAGCCCACAATGTTCTTCCCATGTGGCAATGACCCATGTATCATTCTTCTTCAGTGCATCGATTTCTTCTTTCCTTGAAGCTAGCCAACCAGTATCTGAGGCAGTATCTTCATAAGTGGTTGGTTCTTAGATTTGGAAGACTTGCATTGCAAAGCTTTGTGGTCAGAAGATAACTCACAACATGAAGTAAACCTTTCAATAGGGTACTTGGATTTTGTACTATGCAAAGTGATGTTTGGAGTGGAAGTAGCTTTAGAATTGACATGATACTCTAACATGTGTTTAAGAGGACATGTGGGGTGAGAAGAGCTACATTGTGGCATAGGTGGCCCTTCGGAGAATGCTTCAGGTAGGTTGGGTGATGTTGTGGGAGATGCATCAAAGTTTGAGAGAGGAGAAGAATGAGGTTTTGGTGAGTGCTCCATTGAAGAGGAAGGTTGTAGATCATACACGTTAGAGTGCAAAAGTGATTGATAAAGGTGATGATGCTGAGATAGTTGTTTTGTAACTCCAAAGAAATCGGACTTGTGAGTGAGCTTCTCCCTCCAACTGAGAGGATATTGGAGCAGACACAAAGCACTTCATTTGGCATGGAATTATTATATGAGTTGGGGAATAATAGTCCTTAAAATAAAACCTTGTCTCATCAAATGTTATTGTCTACATGCGAATCTAAGACCGACCAGACTAAGAGAAGTCTGATTTGTTTGAGATCATGTGCAAACTTAGTTGTTTAAATGAGTTGATAGAGGTGTGTGCCGTCGAATTTAGATTGCAGATAAATCAACCTTAAAAGGCCTATTATTTGTAAATTTGCCGCCGAGTCAGTTTAAGCGTTGTGAAATCTGAAACAAATATAAACAAAGAAAAACAAATAGAGCAGATCTAAAAATCTGAAACAAATATAAACAAAGAAAAAGAAATAGAGCAGATCTAAAAAGAGCAGGAAAAGTTGAAATACTATATAAAATAAAGAAAAATAGAGATGCATGGAAAAGAATGAATAAAGATGAAACAAACTGAATGAAAATATTAACAAAGAAAATATCAATGAATAACAGTAAAGGTAAAGAGTGGAATGAAGGAATTAGGAAGAACATATCTACTGAACTAAAATTGAATAACGAAAGAAATAATAAAGAATAAATAAATAAATAAATAAATAAAAGGGGAAAGAAAGAACTTAGAAGTAGGGTCCTCCGGCCTAGCACCCATAGTTTGACTGAGATCAGATGGCAAATATGAGTTCTTCCTCCTCGATTTTCAAGTTGACGATCCTGATTGAATGAAAGTATCCACCAAGAAAAGAGAAAGATGCCTAGGAATTTCACATATAAGGCTTTTGATTGCTGAAATAGGTTGATTTTAGTCTCTAAAATTAGAGAAAGATGCCTAGGAATTTTACATATAAGGCCTTTGATCGCTGAAATAGGTTGACTTTACTCTATAAAATTAGTTGGATTAAGTTCCTAGAGCTAGGGTTTGAATGGCTTAAAGCTAAGGTTCGGGTCTCTGGATGCTAAAAATTAGCATAATGACTTTTATAAGCAAATTATACCTCAAAACAGGAAGGAGGGGGTTGGATTGGTATGGAGGAGCCACGTATTCTGACAACATTTCCTAGCACAAGCCTTCTACTATTCGTGCCACATATTGCGGCACAACTCCATCTTGATTCTAAATCTTAACAGTTTATATCAGAACGTCGAGTTGAGTCTAACGGTGGTGGTTTGATTGAATTAGGAGGTCTCTAGAGGGTCCCTATGCATACTTACTCCTTCTCAGGTTATAGAAACTTCCTAACTGGGGATTATGCAATATTAACTTGTTTATCTGGGGTGTTTTGGAATACTGGGGTTCTAAAATGGGATATTCATGATTTCTATTGATGTTTTTGAATATTTAGGTTTCCTAAATTTTGGGATTTATGGGAGTTTGGTTTTCTAAAATGGGGGGTTGGGATCTAAGGCATATTCTAGGAATATTTTAGGGCTGGACTATGGTTTGAGTGTGGACTATGGCTAAGTGTGTTCTATAGTGTATTGGGATAGTGTGCTCTAGAAATTTTAGAATTATGATAAGTTGTTGGATTTACTTCTGATTGTTGAGGGTGATTTTAACCTTCTCATAGAGTATTTCTTTAATGTACTCATTATTTTTTAACATTTGTACCCTCACGCCACATGTAACAACTTTTTTGGCTTAAGGGTATTTTAAGCAATTAATCAAGGGTAAAATATAAACTTTTAAATGAAAGAAAGATATTAATAAACTATGGTGGGAAGTGATATCACCCACATGAAATGTGACATTATCCTGATGGAGTGTAACATCACCTACACAGAGTATTCAGATATTGTATACTATGAGACATTTATCATCATTATAAGGAGGTCACAATTACTCATAGCCATTAGATATCAAATTTGGTAGCTTAGGGTATCATGAAGTTCGATAGTTTATTTTGAACTTTTAGTTAATGACACACTTATAAATACCCAATTTAAAATTTGATGGACAAAAGTGATTGTGACCTCCTTATACTAAAAGTAAATAGTCTTTTGTATATTTTTTCAAGTATTAACTATTTTCCAACCACTAATATAATACTATGAATTTATCATAAAAATATCTATTTTATCATTCCAAATAACAAAAAATGCCGTTGCTCGATATAGTTTTGTATCACAAAGAAAGAACAATGAACGTTGAATGAATACTCGAGTTGGTTAAGTGAATACTTCATTAGAGGGAGTATATTTAAATATTAAGAAAAAGTTTATACAAGGTTGCAACCTTACTTATACAAGTATAATTATACCAATCGATACCGTTCACCTTATTTGGATGATATATATTTTTGATAATATATCAAAATATATGCTCTCTTTTAATGTTGTTTTAAAAGACAAGGCAAATATACATCATTCAACTAAACTATCCAACTAAAATAGATAGTGTAGAACATTGCAAGCTTACTTCTATAAGTAAATTTGTCACCTTTTATAAATCACACCCATACTTTTTTTTTATAGTCGAGAAATCATAAAATCTTACACACACAATTAAGCATCCGGTCTTGAGATAGATGATAGAAATGATATGCAGTCTTAAAACTCATATTGTTGGGAGGGATCATTCACCCACAAATTCATGTCGGATTACTAGAGCACCGACCTTTTTTGGGATCGATGTATCATATCGTTGGGAGGGATCCTTCACCCACAAATTCATGTCGGATTGCTAGAGCACCGATCTTTTCTGGGACTAGATCGATCCGAAGTACTAACCTAAAAAACATTAAAAATAAATAAAACAGAGATTAATGAGGTGGGTACCTCATGCTTTAGTGGAAACCAGGTTGGGGGCCAAACATCTCACAACTGATTCCCATATGAATCGACAACCTGGATTGAAATTCGCTCCGTTATAAAACGCCGTTGAGAACTGAAGAACATTGTTTAACATGTAAATCATGGTTACCTTTCACTTTGGATAAATGAAAAGCGGTCTTTGAGTGGGGGACACATTTCTACATTTTCATCCCTTGTGGTCCCTCTTAAGAATAAAATCTAAATTTTACATTTTTTAAAAATAATCTTTTTACCCTTTAGATTTTATTTTCTAAATATCTAAAAAGTTAAGTCCGGATTCCATCTAAAAAATATACAAATAAAAGGGGCTGCATATCTACATGTGAGTTCTAGGACTCTTTTGGATAAATCTACCTCCAAAATCAGAAGAGGAAAGACTTCCCTGAAAAGGAGTGGAAAAGCCCTCCCCTCCTATCAGCAAATTCAATTTTCTTAAGTACCAAGCAATACAATTTCTCGCTTTCCTAGTATTGATTCCCCTGCTACTACTGAGTGCTGACAAGGTGATCTCTCTCTCTCTCGCTCTCTTACACAGCTCAGTGCAGCAGATTTTCTGTCTCCTGCTTTATTGGGAGTGAACGGTGGCGCCTGCATTTATTGTTTACGAAAGTTTTCAGGGGGTTGAGGTTCTGAGAATCTTGAGTTAGTTAAGTTGGATTACTCAATGAGACCTCATTATATCGCTCTCCTGTTTCTGGTTCTATGACTCACAATCTCGTTTATTTTAATTTGGGATAATTTAAATGATCGATCTTAGGGTACTGGTTTCATCTGAATCCTGTTTTTCCACCCTTTAATTGGGTTTTAGCCTCTTCCTTTGAATCTGCATATGTTTCCCCCTTTTTTTTTTATTTTTTTATTTTTTTTATTTTTATGTTTCTCATTTTGATCTTCTGAATTAGGATGGTGGTTATTGCCTGGGTTTTGGAAATCTGCTACTAAGGCGTTAAATAGACAGATGTAGAAATTCATATTTTATGCTATTTCGTGATGTATTTAATATTTTATTGCGTTATGCTTTGTCTTCTAGGTATATAAGAATGTTGATTACTGTTGTTTTTGGCATTCACCAGGTCGAACTTAGCTTTTGAGAAACTTGAGAGTGTAATCATTCTGCAATTTGGGTGCCTTGCCTTCCCAATGATGAAAAATATCTCTAATGCTTTTGCTCTCCTTGATTTGGATGTTGAAGATAACACAGAAGAAATAGTCTATAAACCTCGGCAAAAGGATGGCAATTGTTCCGTTGATTCAGGTTTGTGAGCCTGTCTCATGACCTTGCAATAAGTAGGTTCACGATTCTATTGCTGTTATCTAATAGAAAAAATGATCGAGTTATTTGATGTAATCAAGTTCAATTAAAAATTGAACTGTTGTCTATAGTCCTCTTTTCTTATTTTTATTTTTATTTTTTCTAAGAGTGATTGTGCAATACATTCTGGGTAGTACAGGTTTACATAGATATCGCGCATGGGGTGTTATATTTTGTGCAATGCTAGAAGATGTAACACAAAGAGAATAATCAGAGAAATGCATGACATGAGATATGCTTTCATCTCATGTATGATTAGAAGTCTCTGATGATAGGGGAGGGCAGTAGATATGTCTCGTTCAAACGTTACTATCCTAATATGCCTCAAGATACATGAATAGCTTTATGAAACTACTGAATTGTTGTTAAAATGAGATAATGTCTTGTGTATCTTTTGGATGTGTGGAGATGCCCAGCTTGTGCTAAAGAAAGTAATCTGCCTGCTCATCGTTAAGGAACATTGGTGAGGTAATCCTTGATTGGACTACAACAAAATGTATAACTTTTGTAAATATAGTATTAAATGAGCTTTTTGTATATGTAACCCTCCTTATCTAGGATTCTCTGTCTATTTTTGGATTTTCACAATGCTACATAATGTTATGCTTGTGATGAATTGACATTTATCTAGGCCATGGTAGCCATTGGTTCTGAAAGTTGCCAACTGGTTGATTTGGCTTTGAACACCTGAATTTGATATGGGCCATATTTGCAGTCAAATAGATGGCTTTGAGCTGCTGCATTTATCTGCTGATATTTGTTAGGGGATTGGGTTAGGGATGAATTTGTGGTTAGGAACCTTGTGTTGAATCCAAAAAGGAATATTTATTTTTTGGAAAACTTCATGGAGGTCGGCTTTTCTTTCCTTTTGTTTGTGTGATAGAATGTTTTCTGGTGTCAGTTGAACTATTGGTTCAAGCATATGTTGGAAAGGAAGTTTTCATGTTTACCAAGTAATATGGTTCCTGCCTTAGCGTCACTAAGATCCTGCTGGCTAGAGTTTTGGTTTGAGGCTATCATTTAGGAATAATCAGGTTAATAGTTTATGCATTCTGTTCGATTTGATGGTAAGCTAAGGTTAGGGTTAGATTTTCTGATGGAAGGTGTGTTTGTAAGAGGGATAAGTTGGGTAGACAGCATGTAGGACATTCTGGTTAAGGAAGGGTTTGGTTGGAAAGGTGGTGTTAGGGTTTGTAAGAGCCTAGTGTGATTTAGAAGGGGTTTGATTAATGCGGTCGCCTTCTTTTTCGATGTAGGGTTGTTTAGAATGATTTGCAAGAAACTTCGGTTTAGGGAAGATGGTTGTTGGCTTGGGTCTCTGGCATTGAATAATGTGGGAAGTATGGGATTAAAGGTCGCTCGCGTTTGGATGATGGAGTGGGTAAGTAGGGCTTGATAAGATTGCATGGCTCTGACGATACACTGGTGTGTGATCGTTTAGGGTTTGATGGCTTGATGATGTGGCCTATGGTTTAAAGTTGGAGTGTGGTGGCGGCTTGGGCTTGGATGGAAGAAAGGTTGTAGGATATGGGTTGAATAGGGCTGGTGGCTTTCTGAGTCATGGCTATTGAACTTGATGCATGGTAAAGCATGAAGGTTCATTACACTTGATTGATAGAGAAAGATGGCATGAGCAAGGGCATGATTTGAAGGAGAAGAAATGGGCCCTAATTCTTCAAACACTTTCTCCAATGAGGATTGTCCTTCAAGGTGATATCCGCCACCAATTGAAGAGGCAAGCTTTATTCTTCAAATACCTTGAGAAGTCCATGACCCTAATCCATGTTTTTATAAATTTTCATGATGCACTTCTAGCTTGGGTTTGAATCTTGATCACTCCTAGTCTTCCTTAGGAAACCACCATCAGTGTGCAAGGATATGGTCGTTGGATGGAAGAGTGTGTGTTTCTGGGATTATGTTTTGTGCTGTGATACGCTATCGGGGCTGCCTTCCCTATTGTCTTCATGATTACTGTTGACTTTGAGGTAAGTGAGTTCAGCCGTTTTCCGTTTTGATAAAACAACAGGTTGAGTCTGTTTGTTCACCCAGTTCAAGAGTGATCTCAATAATTAACAAGGTGGAAGAGGTACTCATTCCATTGAATGTCGTGGGTAAAAGGACAAGGACTTTGAAGAGCTGCATGGTGCGCTCTGTTGATAATTAATTTTTTTAGTGCTCAGAGGATATTCTTGATCTTCAGCCCCTTGTCGGATGTTTCGTGATATTTCTGCCCACCCAGAATCATTGCATTTGGATGGCTGGTTTGTGGGGATACCATACTCACTTGGAGAAGCACATGATGCATAACATTGATGATTCAGAGGCTGTGGATCAATGATTGGTTCATTGCGGCATTTCACTATGTTTGGGCTTATATCATGGATCTATTTGGCTTCAGTTGGGTTACCTTGTCTTCGGTATCTATTACCTGGATGGTGTTTGGGCTTTAGGTTGCTAATTGTGCCGGACTGGCCCATGGGCTTCTAGGTCGGGCCATGTACCACCTTGGAAAGCCTTGGGCTCGCAGGCCTGGGCCAGGCCCAGCCCAAACCTTGCCTATGTTTAGGATTCCCTGTTGGGCTAGGCAGGGCTGCAGACTTTTGTCCTGGCTTAGGCTTCCTAAGTAGGCTGAGGGAATGAGCACGGACCAACCCTGGTCCGGCCAAGGCTAGCAGTCGTACTTGGACCCTCCCAGAGTGGAGATTATTATGGTGGGCATCCATTCTTTTGACATAATGCAATATATGGATTTAGCACAATTTGTGCATCTTTTGGGGTAGTACTACTGCATTTACAATTTTTAAGAATGGATATTAGACAGGTCCATTGTGGGCAATGTGTAGACCTGAACTTAAAGGTTAGGGGAGCCTCATGGAAGAGTGGATATTGGTGGCTTTTGCATCCTCTATTGGTACACCTGGCTAAGGTAGGTGTCCGACTCTGAGATCTGTTATAGAGCAGTTCTTTTATGTTATTTCTAGTTTGTAGAGGCCAAACCAACACATCATGGGCCTTAAAGGCACCTATCAAAAGGGATGGGGCTATTAATTGTTGAAGGGGAATGTTCCATTGTTATCACTTGGGTTTATACAGAGTCACGGTTTCCTTTGCAACTTTGAGGAGATCTTTGATTTGTGGTAATGTACAACTTTAATTATGATCTTATGCTACTTGACATTGACAACAATTGCGGTGGCCATCATGCATTCGTTGTGGCACTGGACAATCAATCATTCAGTCTCTTGTGTTGGCCTCTTATCATCTCCTGAGACTTTTTTTATTTTTTCTGTGTAATTTTTACCTTTTCAGATTATAAATTGGGAAAAATTTACTAAGTAGGATTCCCTCTACATTTACGAAAGATACAAAAGAAAAGGTAGCAAAGTAACACCCTATTCCAACTAGGATAGAGAGAACTCCTAAAAAGCAAAGAAACTTAACTAACTAATGAAATCAAAATAGAAAAATCTAATAAGAGTTGCAAGGTTCCCTTCCTCTCTTCCTAGAACCTCCAGTGGGCACATCCATCCTCTCAAACTTCCAGCCCTCTATAGAGGAAAGCTTCAAAAATCAAGAGAAGTCTGGCTCAAAGAAGTTTATTGTAATACCAGGTTTTTTCATATGTCTACTTTGGTGAGGCGTCGAAGTGATAGGACTTTCTTGCTTAATGATGCATCGTGAAATGCTATTTCTTGTTATCCCGAGGTAGAATCCCATATATTGTCCTTTTTTCAAGAACTCCTTGCACCAGTAGACCAAGTTCCACCACACGACGTACCATTATCTTCCGATTTCTTAACAGAGGGGTTACTTTCCAATCAGCAAAGGGAAGATTTATCTAGAGAGATCTTGATGGAGAAATTAGGGAATGTATATGGAGTATGAAGAGCGAAACTACGCCTGGTCCATATGCTTTTGGGGTTGAGTTCTATAAATTTAGTTGGGATATTATTTCCCAGGATCTTTTTGCAGCACTCGGGGATTTCTTTAACAAATGTAAGTTCTTAAGGGAGGTTAATTCTACTTTTATTTGTTTAATTCCAAAGAATAAGTCACCTCGTACCATGAAGGACTTTTGGCCCATTGGTTTATGTAATGTTATTTACAAAATCATGAGCAAGATTGTGGCTAGCAAACTGCGTACAGTCTTGGATGCTCTTATTATGCCCTATTAAGCGGCATTTTTGAAGGGTAGACTCATCACTAATAATGTATTGATGGCTAATGAAATTATTTCAACGTGCCACAAACCAGCTAACAGACCTAAAATGTGCCTCCAATTAGATTTCAGCAGTGCCTGCAATAGGGTGTCCTGGGACTTTGTGTTGAAGCGGTTTGCAACTTTGGGGTTTCCTAATAAGTTTATAACCTGGGTGAAGCATTGTGTTAGTACGCCTAGCTTTTCCATATCAGTTAATGGCTCGCCTAAAGGTTACTTTAGAAGCAAGCAGGGGCTGCGACACGGTTATCCTTTATCTCCTTATTTATTCTTAATTGTTATGGATTTTCTAAGTAGGCTGCTGGAGGAGGCCTTTAAAAATGGCTCCCTACTGTCAGCTTTTCCCTCTGGCTCGAACTATGGGGTTTCCCAACTACTATACGCAGATGATGTCTTAATTTTCTGTGAGGCATCCCCTAAGGATGCAATTGCGGTAAGTAACATCCTGTATTCTTTATGTGGGCCCACAGGCCAAAAACTCAACACTATGAAAACCAAAATTCTATTCTTTGGTTGTGGTGATGGACTTAAATCAGAAATTGTGGATATTCTTCATTTTGGGGAAGGGGGTCTGCCAGGAAATATCTTGGGTTGCCTTTCGTTCATGGCGCTTTAAAACACTCCCATTGTCAGGCTTTAGTGGGGAAGACAGTTGCTACGATTGGATGGCGAGCTTTAACATTATCTTTTGCAAGTAGACTTCAGTTGATTAAGTCGGTCTTAA